TTCCATTGTAAATATGTTTTAGGAGTTTAGGTGTTTATCACACTGAAGAAATCCAATCCAATTCAACTATATACTGTATAGATTTTACATTTAGTTTTATAAGTCCTTGGTCATTACCGTTTGGAAAGCTGCAAAATATTTACATTTCGCTTATATTATAAGAAGTTCTGTAAATTTAGTGTTTAATACATCTTCTGCATACCATGTATTTGTCTTCATTATACACTTATACAATAGCGTGACTAATATATTTCTTGTTACTGCAAATTATGTTAGTAATGAAATGATCTTTGCATTCAACTAGGGTTTTTGTTAGCGTTTTGAATGCATGTTTTGGTATTCATTTAGTTATGTTTCTGGTTTCTTTCCCATTACAAAATATTTGAATTTGTTGGTTTGTTTTACTTTTATAAAGAATTGTTCAATTAGTTTAGAAACATTATTTTTAAATTATATTGTATTTAATCAATCGGAATTATACTTTGGATTTCGCTCAACTAAAAAATCTAATTGGTTAGTTGAATATCGCTGAACAAAAGACAATTTGGCTTTTGAAAAAATAGTTTGATTTAATGGTTCTTCTTAATATTGAATGGCTTGAGAGTTTTTTTATGGGTTGGCTAATTTAGTTTCAGCGGCTTTGGCATTTCAAATAAATGTATACACAATTGTCTAATTGATTTGGGATCTTATATAGGTATAGGTATTTGTGGAACAACACATTGTGAACATGGAGGTCTATGTTTTGCACTGATTATGGACAATTCGGAAGTAACTGAATATAAGTGCGCTTGTACCCCAGGTTTCAGGGGCTCTACATGTACTGGAGTGGTCGGTAAGGTTTTTTATTATGTAAAAATATTAAACAACTCAAAACTCACAAAACGCTCTCAATATTAATACTATGTATTAGGGTTTTACATATGTTTAAACTACAGTTATATATGTATACGTACGTAAGTAAAAACCAATATTATGAATGAATTAAAGTAAGTTTGAGAATTTTTTTTAATGCTTTATTATTATTGTAGTTAAATGCGGCCTCAATGAATTTAAATGTTCAAGTGGCGAGTGTATACCGCTTAAAAAGCAATGCGACAATATCCCGTATGACTGTGCGGATAATTCAGATGAACTCAATGGAGAATGCAGCAGTAAGTATATTAAATAAAACCCGTGCGTCTTATATTATAAAAACTACCCATGGCTCATGTTGTCACTTGTAAAACAAACTTTTCCACATATTTTTATGTTTCCAAATTGAAGAAATCTCATAAACTTTCCATAGGGTTAAGTGTATAAAACATATAACGGTAACAAATAAGAAACTACACGACAGCTAATGTTTAGTAAACATATATAATGGTAGGCCTAACCGTCGTCTATCTAATCACATAGATTTTGAAATTACAAACTTTTGAAAATAGAATAAAATGTTGCAAATTTCCTATCAATGAAACTACAGAGGACATTTTGTACAACTAACAAGTATATTTTTCTTATTAACTATTGTTTTAAAATTAAATAATTTTTATATAGCCCTAAGTAATAACTTATAACAAAGAGAAAACTTCAAGGTAGCTAATTTTAGTTCACATACATATGGTAGGCCTAATTGTTGTCAATCTAATAACAGCTTAAAAGAACATTGAAAATATAACGAATAGTTCAAACTGTTCTATCAATAAAATTACCGTTGACATTTAAAAAGTAGATTTTTCTTAGCTAACATAGACATTCTTGCGAATTGACTATGGCATGGAGTAACTCGGTGACCGATATAAAAATCCAGAATTAATTTAGAATGGTATTTAAAGTCAGGGAGACATAGACTTACCAAAATATAACAAAATATACAGTAGTGGTAAATGTATAATAATTATTTTTATGTTATTGTTAAGGTTATGATTGTAAACATTTACTGGCTGATCTTGATTCTTTGATGAATACGTGTGGTAACATCAGTAGACCAAGCTCAGCACCACTGGAAAACGAACAAAACATATGGCAGTTTTTTCCAGATTTTATCGATTTTCTTGACGATAAAACTATAATCTCTAAGGTAAGTATTACTGTTTTTGAGTCATTATTGTTTTGCTTATTTATAAATTATATTATTTATTTTAGGGACAATATTAAGTA